TGCAATTTACCTGCCCCAATCTTCCCTTAGAAGTTGCAAGCCTTCAACAGACTTGAGTTCCAAAATAGTTACATCAGACCGATTCTGCCAGTGCAACTGCTGTTTAGGTGCAGAGACAGATTGCTGGTGCTCCCTAGTCTGCCGTTTTCCCCAAATCCTCTGGAGGATGGTTTTTATTTTTATTTTTATTTTTTTTAAAGAATCCTTTTTTTTTTTTTCAACATTTATTTATTTTTGGGACAGAGAGAGACAGAGCATGAACGGGGGAGGGGCAGAGAGAGAGGGAGACACAGAATCGGAAACAGGCTCCAGGCTCTGAGCCATCAGCCCAGAGCCCGACGCGGGGCTCGAACTCACAGACCGCGAGATCGTGACCTGGCTGAAGTCGGACGCTTAACCGACTGCGCCACCCAGGCGCCCCTGTAGGATAGTTTTTAAACCACACATGAAATTTCATTGATACAGAGCTATTCAGGTTACCTATTCTTAAAAAAAAAAAAAAAATCTATTCTTGAATGAGCTTTGATAGTGTGTCTTTCAAGGAATTTGTCTATTCCAATTAAGTTGTCAAATTTATAGGCATAAAGTTTTTTATAATATTCCTTTATCCTTTTCATATCAGTAGAATCTGTAGTTATGTCAACTTATTCCTGATAATGGTAATTTGTGTCTTTCCTCTTTTTTCCCCCTTGATAGTCTATCTAGAGGTTTATCAATTTATTGATATTCTCAAAGAAACAGCTATTGGTTTATTAATTTCCTGTAATATGTTTCTGTTTTCTATTTCATTAATGTCTGCTCTGATCTTGTTTCTTTTCTTATGCTTGCTTTGTGTTTACTCCTCTATTCCTAATTTACTCCTCTATTTGTAGGAGACAAAATCATTGATTTGAGACCTTCCTTTTGTTTTCCTAATATGGTGTTTAGCACTATAAAATTTCCCCCAAGCACTGCTTTAGTGACATCCCCCAATTTTTGATATATTGTTTTCATCTCTAGTTCAAAATATTTTCTAATTTCCATCTGGATTTCTTTTGTGACCACTGGGTTTTTAGAAGTGTGTTATTTCATTTTCATGTTTGGGGATATTCCAGAGATCTGTTAGTGATTTCTCAGTAACTTCTATTGTGGTTGGAGAATGAACTTTGTGTGATTTCAATCCTTTTACGTTTATTGAGACTTCTTTTATGGCCCCAAATATGTCTATCTTGGTAAATTTTCTCTGTGTCTTAGAAAGGAACATGTATTCTGCTGAGTGTTCTATAAATGTCAACTAGGTTGAATTCATTAATAATGTTCAAGTCTTCTATACCTTATTTTTTGTGTACTTTATCAATTAATGAGAATAGAAATATCTGACTGTAATTGCAAATTTATCGATTTTTTCTTGCAGTTCTATGTTATTGAGTAAAAAAAAAATTAGGATAATTATTTCCCCTTAAAGAACCGGTCTCTATAATTATGGGATCATTTTCTTTATGCCTGGTAATATTCTTTCCTCTGAAATCTTTTTTCTCTGATATTACTATAGCCGTTTCGGCTTTCTTTTAATTAGTGTTAGCATGGAGTAGTTTTCCACTCTTTTACTTTGAACCTATCTGTGTCCTTATACTTCCTGTGTTTCACGTAGGCATGATATAACTGTAGTCAGGTGTTGCTGATTTTATTCAATCTGACAGCACCTGCTCTTTAGTAGGAGTTGTTAGACTACACTGGACCCTTAGGGGTGCCAGTTGAAAATCCACATATAACTTTTGACTCTCCCACACCCCAGACTTAACTACTAATAGCCTACTGTTGACCAGAAGCCTTACTGATAACAGAAACATGTATGTGTTGAATACCATATTTTTACAACAAAGTGAGCTAGAGGAAAGAAAATCTTAAAATCATAAGGAAGAGAAAATACATTTTCGGAACTGTAGTGTATTCATTGAAAAACATTTGCATATAAGTTGACCTGCATAATTCAAATCTGTGTTGTTCAAGGGTCAACTTATATTTTATGTGACTATTGGTACAGTTAGATTTAAGTCTGTCATTTTGTTATATGCTCTCTATTTCTCCCCTCTATTCTCTAGACCCTTTCCTCTTTATCTTTCTTCTTTTAAATTAACTGAGTATATTCTCATTCTGTTTTATCTCCTTTGTATGCTTATTAGCTAAACCTTTGCCTTTTTTAGTGCTTGTATTAGTGTTTATAATAACTACTAGCTATCTTTAACTTGTCATAATGTACTTTTAGGTGATATTATACCACTTCATGTACATGAACCTTACAATAGTCTTCTTCCATTTTTCCCCTCCCCCTCTTTATGATATTGTCATATATTTTATGTAATATATATTTGTCACATATTTTACTTCTATATATGTTATAAACCCCACAATATGTTCCTGTTATTTTTGTTTAAACAGTAAGTTATCTTTTAAAGAAATTTAAATAATAAGAGAAAAACTTACATAATTGCCCATGTGGTTATCAGTGCCGTGTATTCCTTTGTGTAGACCCACATTTCAATTTGGCACCATTTTCCTTCTGCCTAAAAGATTTGAGCATTTCTTGTAGTGAAAGTTTGACTTTGTAGTGAAAGACTGAAATCTTTCAGCTTTTGTATATCTGAAAATGTCTTAATTTTGCCTTTGTTTCTGAAAGATATATTTTTGCTGGATATAGAATCCTGGGTTGACAGTTTTTTTCTTTCCGTACTTTAAAGATGTTATTCCACTAAATTCCCTTTTGCTGAATTCACTAATGGGAAATCTGCTGTCCTCTTTATTTTTGTTCTTCTGTGACTGCATGTAAGATTTTTTGTTTATTAATGGTTTTGAGAAATTTTACTATCATACACCTTGGTGTTGTTTTCTTCACGTTTCTTGGTTTGGAATTTGTTGAGCTACTTATAAAATCTGTTCTCATCAAATTTGGAAAATTTGCAGTTATTTATTCAAATAATCTTTCCTGTTCTTCCTCTTTTTTTCCTTCTGGGATTACAAATACAAGTATTTCAAAATTCCTTTAAGTTACCCCACATCTCATTTATATTCTTTTCTTTCTTTTTAGAATTCCTTCCCCCCCCCCCCCGTGTTTCATTTTAGATCATTTCTACTGTTCTGTCATTAAGTTCACTAACATTTTCTTCTGCAATATCTAATCTATTCATCCTTTCCAGTGTATTTTTCACCTCACATACTGTTTTCATCTCTTAATGTTTGAGTTGAGCCCTTTTTATATTTTCCAGGTCTCTACTTCTGAACATATGGCACATAATTATAGTAACTGTTTTATTTTTTTTTAATTTTTTTTTCAACGTTTATTTATTTTTGGGACAGAGAGAGACAGAACATGAACGGTGGAGGGGCAGAGAGAGAGGAAGACACAGAATCGGAAACAGGCTCCAGGCTCTGAGCCATCAGCCCAGAGCCTGATGCGGGGCTCGAACTCCCGGACCGCGAGATCGTGACCTGGCTGAAGTCGGACGCTTAACCGACTGCGCCACCCAGGCGCCCCTATAGTAACTGTTTTAATGTTATCTGCTAATTCTAACATCTGTGTGAATTCTGTTTCAGTTTCAATTGATTGATTTTTGTCCTCATCATGGGTATGAGTATAGACTTTAAATTTTTTTGTCACAGAACAGCAAATTGCCCTCCAGGAGTGTTTTATCATTAATCCTATCACTATCAATAGATGAGAGTGCCTGTTTCCCTTCCTGTCCCGCCAGCACTGAATTCTGTAAGTCTTTAATCTTTGCCAATCTCACAGGCTAAAGCTATTTATTGAGCACCAACTCTAAGCCTAGTGATGGATGGAGGCAACTCTGTGGTGCTCAAGCAGCCACAGTAGCTGCCCTCATGGTGCTTATAACCCAGTGGTGTTTGTTTACCATGTTTTTCTTTGTATTTTCACTGATAATTAGCAACGTTGAGCATCTTTTCCTAAGTTTATGTCACTTACATTTCTTCTTTGGTGTACTGCTAACATACACTGGATTATTTGGATTTTTTTATTCCTTTGTAAGAGCTCTGATATTTACTAAGGGTAGATACCCACTTTCAGCTTTTGAATTAAAAATATTTGTTTTATAAACAAAGACATTTCCTTTAAAACAAGTGAACAGTACAGAACTTCTTTGAAGAAATTATTTGCATGTTACTCAAATACTTTTTCTTCTACATTAAAAATAAGTAGGAATTGATTCTGGTTTAAAGACATTGCCCTTAAAGGAAAATAGTTTTGAACAAAAAATATAAAATACATATATGGATATATAAAGTATACATAAATGTATAAATGCTTTCATATACATCTGACATCAACATACAAATGACTTACATTCTTTAGAAATAATTATGCAGATTCTGAATGCCATTTTACTCTCTTAATAATGGAATGGAAAGTCAAAGAGATGAAACATTTCTAGATTAAATATTCCCAGCTGATTAAATATTTCTGGCAGAGCCTTGCCATCTATATTGGAAATGCCCTACATGCAAGACTGTTAATTTGTAATTGTCTAAGATCTATTCAAAGGAGAAAATGTCAAAATTCCCATTATAGTGTGTTTACTTACCCGCTCAAGAGTAGCAAAAGCTCTCATGCACAAGAGCAGCAAGGCACATGCTACCTGTTCATCTGGCTGTGCAGGTAAATGCTTCCTGGCACCGCCAGGGAGAATGCCTGGGACACAGTTTCTGTAAAGTGCCCAGTGTCTTCTTAGCCTTCATGGGCAACATGAGGTGGCAGGGGGTGGTGGCCCTGAGAAGCGTTCAAGTTTATGGTCAGGGATATAATGGTACATGTGTCACAGGGCTGAGGGGTGTTAGCTGGCCGAATATGATGGAGGAAATGTATGCCACCAGTTATGCTGTGAATTCACAAATTGAGCAGTTTTACTAATGGTGATGATGACAACCACCAGCAAAGCCCCACGAGGCCCAATCCACCGGCTCTTCCATTGGCCCTGCCCCTTCCCCCCCCCACCCCACCCCCAACTGACCTGTTTGGTGTAGGTGGTCTCTGGCCACCTCAAACAAGCGCAGGTGCATGTTGGTGATGGGATTGAAGGAGCCACAGGCCAGGAGCACCAATGGGATTCGACTCTTCATCTTGTCAGGCACCTCCACACCCACGGCAGTGGCCACCCTGCCTTCATGGGGACAATAACTCATGTTAGAGAGCTGGTACCAGACAGCTGTCTAGATCAGCGTCCCTAAAGTATACATAAGTCATTACATCTCATTTATAAAGGTGACTGGAGGGCAGTAATAACAATAACAACATTTATGGAGGATGTACTGTGGGCCGGGACCTGGGCTAAACACATGTCAAGGTATCTCCCTTGTCCCACCAAAGCCTTGAGTGAGTGGTCACCTCTCCAGCTCCGGGACCTTAGCAGCTGCAGGACTGGACCCAGGCAGCCTGACTGCAGAGACCTTGTTCTTCCTGTAACCTCTATACCCTCCTGGGCTCTGATGAGTCACCTTGGAATCTACAGGAGGTATGTAAGACACTCATAATGTCATCTCTGGTAGTCCAAGTGAAACTTACATCCCAGAGTAGACTGGTAGTTTAAAAAAAAAACTTTTTAAAAAATACTTTCAGATAATGCAAGCAGAATTGTAACACTTGAACAAGGACTTCCTGTATATCCTTTACCTAGTTTCCTTAAATGTTAATATCTTACCACATTTGCTTTATCACTCATTCTGTCTCTCTTTCTACACACACACACGTGCGTGCACGCACGTATACTTATATTTTTTTCTAGAATGTTTAGGGCTAAGTTGTAGACACAATACCTCTTTACCTCTAAATACTTCAGTATGTGTTTTCAAAGAACAAAGGCATTTTCTTATGTAATTGCAGAGTAATGATTAAAATCAGGAAATTAATATTGTTACAGGACTATTTAATCTGCAGATCTTTTCTGACTTTACCTCTTGTCCTTTATCTAGGGCCAAAGCAGTATGAGGGTCCTGCCCACCCTTGTCTCTACACTCTTGGGCTTTCAGGGCCAGGGTGAGGTTAAAGGAAAGCAGACAACAGAAGCCGAACTTCAGTGGCTTAAACAAACAGAGGTTATTTGTTTCTCACATGACAAGAAGTAAAAGAGGGAAGCTGCCATTAGGCCCCGGGCTCAACAATGGCCAGCAATTCTCTCAGATCTTCCCTCATGTTAGAAGACTGCTGCTGTAGCTACAGCCATCATGAATAGGATCAAGGCAAGAAGGAGCAAAGAGATACAGTAGCCTGAGTGTTCCTCTTAGTCAAAAACAAAAGAGCTTTCTCAGAACCACCCTGTAGATTTTTGCTTCTCATCGGCCAGAACTAAATCACATGGCCGTTCTAGCTACCAGAGAGGCTGGGAAAGTATTTAGCTTTATAGCCTCTCTAGTGGGAAGCAGAAAGGAAAAGGGAATTAGAAATGGGATTAGCTAGTTCACAGCACAGAGGGACACAACTGCCTTGGAGCTGACTGTGTAGAAGGCTGCCACGTTGGCTTTTCTGACAGCTACCTTGGGTCAGCTGATCCATGGCCTACCTTCAGTAGATCATACACCACATTCTATAGGGAAAACCTGCTCTTGTGTCTTTCCTCCCCGCCAGACAATAGGCCCATTTAAGAGGACAAGTGGTGTTTTCTTCATCTCTGGATCCCAGCCTCAAGCCCAGTACCTGGCCCAGAGTAGGGCTCAATGAAGATGGGAAACGGCTGGCTGCAGGGTGGTCCTGCGTCCTGGTGGGAGGAAGGCCTAATGCACTTCCTAATGCAGAGAAGTTGTTCTGGAAGTATTCTGAGTTATAGCAAGCAGATAAAACAAAAAACAAAACAAAACAAAAAAAACCCAACCAACTCTCAGGCAGGCTATGGTTTCTTGAAGCTTCCTTTAAGGCAGCAGGAACACCCCCTACTGCGGGAGAAGAAAGCGGTCTGCAAGCTACTGCTGCTTGCTTCCTCCCAGGGAGGTTGGATGGTTTAATGAGATATTATTTGCAGAATGTGCCGAGCTATTCACAAGAGCAGCCCCGTGATGAGTGTATCTGGGGAGTCTGGCTGTTGTTCACAACTATTATGAAGCCTTTCAAAGTTCTATTTCATTTTGACAAAATCTAACTTTTTAGAGCTGTTCAAACATGTAACTCAACATCTCAGGTAACCTGGGGTTTTGATCCATTTTTTCAAAAGTTCCCAGAAACGATAAATTAGATCATTTGTTTGAATGGTGGCATCAACAGCAATGAAGTGTGATGTTGGGGAAGAAGAATCAATGACATTTAATGTCTGTCTTTCTTTCCTTGCCAGCAGCCCACTGAGCCACACTACTCCAAAGCGACTTAGTGTATCCAAGCCGCCGCTGAGATGGGAGAGGCAGGGAGTGCACGTTCCCAGGCTCAGGAGTGAGGTCAGTGCTCCTGCGTCACTTGTATACTCTAACTTGCCTCGACTACACACCCTGCCAAGCCCGACCCCAGAGAAATACAATGATAGCGTTGATATGGCCTCACTCCAGGGGCCACCAGGAGAATAAACCAGGCTCCAATTTGAGTGCAGGTCTCATCGGACGTGAGGCCAGATGCGTGCCATGAAAGTGACCCATCTGCCCTGTCATTTGGTAACATCTAGTGAGACAAAGCAAGTGTGGGAGACGCTTGCTATCCAGAAAGGCTTCTCATCAATAAGCATTTAATGGGGGGCCACAGAGTGAGCAGCAATTGCTGCTGCACGATTTAACAAGTTGAGAAGGAGGCATACACGGCCTTCTTGGAGTTTATCATTACATCGGAGAGACAAGGCAACCAGATTCCACCGCTGGCCCCCGTCCCCTCTCCAGATTACCATCTGGAGTCACCCAGATAGTATCTCACCCTGCTCTTCAAATGCAGCACGCTGCCTCCCTTCTCCTCACTTCTGCAAATGCTGTTCCAACTACCTGAAACACCCCTGCCTTCAAGGTTTTCTCCTGGGAGTGTTTATCCAGTTGTCCCTCCCGGACCCCACACGGTGCTATATGTACCCCCCATTATACATTTTATCACTTTCTTCTTCCAGCCACCACAGAACTGCCATTGCTTCGTTTCCACGTTGCTCTCCCCCAAGCAGGTGAACTCCTACAGGGTGGTTTCTTACTCGTCTTGGTCCCCCCTCAACTCCTGCACTGTGCTTGGCGCACAGGCGCTCAGAAAGTGTGTAGAATGAATGAGAGAATGAGTGTCTCCAACCAAGGGTCATCCTTTTCAGACAGCTACCTCATCTCTTTGGTTCTGTCCCAAGTAGTCAATGGGCTGGGGCTTTCACAGATAGAAACTGACTTTTCTGGGGCGCCTGGGTGGCACAGTCGGTTAAGCGTCCGACTTCAGCCAGGTCACGATCTCGCGGTCCGTGAGTTCGAGCCCCGCGTCAGGCTCTGGGCTGATGGCTCAGAGCCTGGAGCCTGTTTCTGATTCTGTGTCTCCCTCTCTCTCTGCCCCTCCCCCATTCATGCTCTGTCTCTCTCTGTCTCCAAAAAAATAAATAAACGTTGAAAAAAAAATTAAAAAAAAAAAAAAAAAAAGAAACTGACTTTTCTGGCTTTCAAGAGGCACTTAAGACCCCTTGTCAAGGCCCCAGTCCACTTCAGCCCGAAATCAAACAAGACACGCCTGCCTGCTGGACCATGTTCAATGTCAGGATTCCATCAACAGGGGTACACCAACTTCCTGCACGCTGACACCAAGGTCATCCCCCTGCTCTGGAGAAGCGGAGGTCACCAGCTGCTGCTTGGATAGGCAAAGGACTTTGCAGATGTGATTAAGTTAATGGTCATGAAATGGGGAAGGTAGCCTGGATTATCCAGGTGGGCCCAGTTTTATCATGAGGGTCCTAATAAGGAGGAGGAGGGGGGTCAGGTACACAAAGATGGAAGGGCCAAAGTGACAATCAGGAGGGAAGAGGCTATTCTGGTTTGAAAGAGGAAGGGGCCGGGAACCAAGCAGCGTAAGTGGCCTCTAGAAGCTGGAATTGGCAAGAAAACAGATTCTCCCCAAGAGCCTTCAGAAGGAATTCAGTCCTGCTGACACCGTGCTTTCAGACTTGTGACTTCCAGAACCATAAGAAAATAACGTGTGTCGCTTTAAACTAGTAATCCATGGCAATTTGTTACAGCAGCCATTGATATGAACAAACTCACCTATGAGGGGGCAGATTCTCTACAGTGACCTTCCAGCGGGGGCAAGAAAGGTAAAGGAATTGAGCCAGTGACAAGGATATTGAAGGGTGTGTTGGGCAGAGGGACCAGCATTGCCAAGCCCCGAAATCACCATCTGGGGGGGTGGTGAACTGAAAGCACATCCATGCGGCTCTGTGTGGGTGACTCAAGATTGAGGCCACAGTTGGTGTAGGGATCCTGCAGGCCCCTAGGGGGTCTTGGAGACTTGATTTTATTCCATGGGCAATGAGGAGCCTCTGAAGGATTTTCAGCAGGGGTGCGACTTACTCGTACATTTCTAGTTCAGAGAGAGCCCAGGTGCTCCCAGGATAGTGCGGCAGGAAGCCCCAGGGTGGCAACTTCCAGGCCCTCTCCACCTAGGGAAGGGCAGGCATTTCTCCAGCTTCCCCCAGGATGGCCTTTCCTGCTGCCTGCATTTCACTTCAATCACCCGGTAATGGGATGCTGGCCGATGCCCCGCATGCACCAAATTCTAAGTGTGTACCCTTCGGCCCATTTGTCACAGGCCGTCGCAGAGACACAGAAAGGAAAGGCGAGCCAGGAAGGTTAAGTGCCGTCACTGCAGATGTAATGTGCTAATGCTCATCGCTTGGGAGGCAGTCAATTTACCTTTCCCTGCGGTGAGCGCCTCTAACAGGACCTGGCCCAGGAAAGTGGCTGAAAACATCCCTGTTTATTATAGACATAAAGCAGATGGCTTCGGGCAGAATGGAAATGGATTCTACAAACATCTTTCATTACACAGACCTCTTGACCAGACTCCTCATCTTAAAGAAAACAAGAGACGCGGTTTGTATTTCTGGGGGTGACGAGCACATTTTTTTTAGGACCGAGGGAAATCATTTCCATCTGCACGAGGATGTCAACTTCTCCAGGGCAATCAACCTTCACGCGAACTCCGGGCACTTTTTCTTTTCAACTTTGTTGGATTCACCCGCTGTTGCTATGGGCACACGGTGCTGCTGGGAACAAAAGCAAAGCGAGCCTTCCTTGCCAGTGTGAGGATCCTCCAGTAGCCACCTCTTGGCGCAAACACACACGCCAATTAAGCACTTGTCCTAATTATGAGACTCCCAGGAAAGCAGGCAGCCTGGCTCTTAAGTTTGGAGAACTTTCAAAAGATGTGAAGGAGCATGAGGAATGGAACGAGGTCTCTTGCAACCCCACACTCAGGAGTTGGGAAGAATTTCGATTGCTGCAGGAAGGTGGCATGGAGTCACAGCTCCTGGGTTTCCTGAGTGAAAGCCTAGGCATTGTTCTAGAACCTTCCACACACCAGTGCTGATTCTTTCAGCATGCTTGGAAGGAGAGGGTTTGTGCTTGCATCCTGCTCGACTTCTCCAAGCCTCAGTGGGCCCCATGGCAGATGGAGATAAATCACATAACCCCTAGGGCCATCATGGGGGTTACCGGGTTAACTCACCTAGCACAGGGCCTGGCCCGCAGGGGGTTCTCCAGAAACATTAGCTCCTCTTTCCTTTCTTTACATTCAGAGCAGAATGTACCACCCCCACATCCGCTTCAACCTACTTGTTCACCATTTTTGCAGTCACCCGTGACCAAAACCTGGCGGTCCTTAGGACCACTTTAGCACCCGCCGCCCCGTTAGACATCTCTTGCAGACCACCCAGGCCTGGGAGTTGTTCCCACAGAAGAGCGCTCCCAAGGAAGGCCGTCCCCACACACCACTGCCAGAATCTTCCACCTAGCTCCAACTGCAACAGCTCAGCTCTGAGCATCACTTGTCCCTGGAGTTAAGACTTGCTAGTGAGAAACAGTTTAATGTCCTGCTGATGGAAAGAACATCTGGTGATGAAGAAAAAATGTGCCCCGGATCACAGCTGACTTGCCACCCTGGAACAGAGAAGCAGACAAGGGGGTAGAACGTGAGAAGTGCCTGGCGTCTCCCATGAGGAGTGCGAAGTAGCAGATCATGAAAATCACAACCGACCAGCGACCATGCTAGTGCCTTAGAGGTACAGGGATAAACAAAACCTGGCCCCTGTCCTCAAGGTTACAGTTTGGCAGGAAGAACAAACCACTAGGGCCCCAGGTAGGACAGAGTCTTCCGATAACCTCCCAATAACCATTTCTGCCTTCCTCTTTAGTAACAGAATCTCTAGTAACCTGCCAGCTAAATACACATTCCCCAGTCTCTGCAGCAGGGTACGGCCATGTGCCTAAGGTCTGGCCAAAGATCTATGAACAGAAGTGTTGCATGATACTTCTGGAACCCTCCTGAAATGGGGATAGCCTGCCCTTCTCCTCTTCTATACTCCTGCTGTCTAGAATTTGATGGCTAGAGTATGGTAACTACACTGGACCACCTCCCAGTTTGACGGAGAAGAAGCCAAGAGAAAGCCAGGACCTTAATGACCCTGAAGCTGCCATACCAGCCCCAGGCTGCCTGCCTTCAGGTTTCTTTTACCAGGGGGAGAAATAATCTTCTGAGTCACCATTATTTTCTCTTTTTCTATTATACATAGTGAAACCTGTGTTCTAATTCTAACTGATACATTCTAATCAATTTGCAGATGCAAATTCTAATCAATTCTAACTGATATACTGATACCTAATGAATGTTTCTTAAACTAGTGTATAAAGAAATGAAAACTGTGTAAACTTTTAGAAGTTTCTACCAACCCAGTTAAGCCTATTTTACCTGCGGAAACTCAAACGGATATTGTTTGAAAGGGAAAATACACCTAAGGAAAAAAAAATCTACCATAACTTAATTTTTTATATGAATTTTTCATAGGAGGAAAAATCCTTACTCAGGGCTCTAGAAGACTGAAATGTGCAGCAGTGAATCTGCTTTTCTGTAGATCACAAAAACCAGACTGTGTCCTATCTCCTTTCCCCCAAACCAGATTCATTATGGCGTGTTGTTACACTCTGCTTTGAGTGGGCATTTGCCATATGGCTTGGCAGTTTAATGGCTTTCTGATACTTGACAAAAATGAAGCACAATCATTTTGCAAGGAGCTTGCGTTCCTAGATGGGTCTTTTCCAAATAACAGCTGTGCCTCAAAATGGAGTTACTCAAATTGCAATTTGTGGACACAATACTCAAACATTTACAAGTGAGCAAAACCTCAAATCACTTGGGCTATTTCCAGGCTTCAGAGTTTATGAAGTTTTTAGCAATGTTATGAGAGTGCAGCTGTCAACAAACTCACGCCAAAGTCTCTGAACCAACGGAACCCGGCAGGCAGCAGAGATGTCCTACTTAGCAGCAGGACATGTGCAGCCGACCACAAACCCTCGCGAGAGAACAAATACGAGGGAAGTAGGCTTTATGCTAAAGTCCACAGACCAAATCTCTGTGCCTTTCTCTCTACTCCCTACCACACCGTACAGATGACACCAGATCTACAGCTCTAGCCCTGACCTTGCGGATGGGCCCCTACCGGTCCACGGATGTCCACCTGGCACTGGCTTATCAACAAGACAGACAAGCATGGATGCAGAGCTGACTAGCAAGCACTTCCTAAGCGACCTTGAGCGTGTGAGTCAGGGGAGTCCAGATGAGGTATGTAAACAATTCCCAAATCTCAGGAGCTTAAACCAATAAAGGTCTGTTTCACGTTCCTATTAACATGTGCATTCTATGCTGGTTGGGCTCTGTTCTGGATCCTCTTTTCCTCTCAATCCAGGACTCAAGCCAATGGAGCAGTCAGACTGAATATGGTCAGTCTGTAGCAGAGGAAAATAAAGGACTCCAGAAGGTCCCTCACCAGCAATTGTATTGTATGCTTGGCCTCAAACTAGCAATATCCCTTCCAACAACCCCACCCAACTTCAGGGAGTTAGAAAATACAATCTGACTCTAGCTCTCCAACTTCAGGACACAGATATACTTGGTGAATAGCCTGGTGCCTTCTACAGTGAGTTAATCCACTGCGCTTAGCCTCAGTGACCCATATGGAAAATGGAGATAATTACACACACCTCCACAGATTGTCATAAAGGTTAATCAGAGGTGACTCATGTGGAGCACTTAGAATAGTCCCTGGCCCATAGGAGGTTCTCCAGAAATACCAGCTCCTTTCCTTGCATTCGAAACAGAATTCTCAGTCTCCCACACCTGCTTCTGGCTGCCCACACCCCATGTCTGAAAAAGATGCCACCGTTTTTCTAGTCACTTTCATTAAAAACCTGCCCGTTATCTATGATCTCTGTTCATCCTTCATCATGTTCCCCCAGTACAATGACCTCCAAGTTTGGCCCATGTGAGGTCTTCACTTTCCATCACTACTGAGACCCATCCTACGATAGGATTTTATTATCTTCTTGTATCAGGATTTTAAAAAATTGCTAACAACAAAAACAAGCTCTGGTCATCCTAGTTCCCCTCTCCACAAAAGGCAAAGCAGTAAAGGAGCACGGGATTATCCGAAGGCCACCAGACGGTCACACAGAATAATGGAAGGGCTGAACATGAGGTCACAGGATAGACGAGGAACAGGGCAGTGCCATGGTCTCAATCTGGACTGAGCCCCATAGTATAGACAGGGTCAGTGAGGCTCACACCAGTGCACGCTGTTCTCAGAGGCCACTGACGCGGACCAGACAGACCCCACCCCCAGCAATAGCTTCCATCCTTGGGTGTCAGAAACTATGCAATCAGCTCCCCCCGCCCCAATGTGGCCCCAGTCCAATCTTTTCTCAATATGCCAACCAGATCAACTAGTCCTAAAGTTTGGGTTAAGTCACTTAAACTACTATGACGAACAATCAGGTGTCTACCATGCACTAAACACTGTATAAAACCTGGACCTTTGTGCCAAGCTAGCGATAAAACCTTCAGAAATTTGTTCTCCTTTGGCATTTAGTTGTTCAGCCGTGTCCTTCAGCTGGCATTAGAACTTTGGGGATTTTAGCCCCACTCCACCTCTCCAGATGGTATCCTGACCACCCTCTCTATTCCCTACATGGGCTCCATGTCCTTCCCACGCTGAGACCAACTGCGTGAGACCAACTGTTCTCTGATGTGTCTTCTGAGTGTTCCTGCTGCTTGGGCTTCTGTTGATGCCACTTTCTAGAGCTAGGTGGTCTCTTTCATGCCAGCTCTCCCACAGAGCTTCCCCTGAGAGCCCACCTAGAAGTCATCTGACCTCTTAAAGGTGACACTGTCTGTATTACTGAGTCCCACTCTCTAATTGCCATCCTCTGACCTCTTAAAGGTGACACTGTCTGTATTACTGAGTCCCACTCTCTAATTGCCAAAAGACTGTAAAACCCCGAGGGCAGGGATCCCACAGGGTCTCACATAGAGTGGAATGCAAATAAGGAATATTCACCTTACTCACTGGAGGACAAGGTAAAAGTGAAAAATAGATCAGAATGAGAGCCAGAGAGCCCCGGTCACCTCCTGGCATGACCTAGGCTGAAGTGCTTCCATTCTCGCTTCCAATACTCAGCATTTCCTGGCTTGCTTTACTCCATGGAACTTTCTGTCTCACTACCAGAGGCGTCACCTCCCTTGTGGACTTGAATTTTGGTCTTACCCCATAAATTGTGTCTGCCACCTTGGCTGGGCTCCATCCGGGTCCTGATTTACACCTCAGAGGCACCATTTGACTCCTCTGTCCATTCCCTACCTCTGCCCCTGCCGAATGCTGGGTATATGTCCAGGGCTCTGCTCCATTCCAGCAGTGGGCAATGAGCCACAGTTAGTACTGAGAGAAGCAGTCTCACACCCTCTACAGCCCTGGGAGAGTCCCTGTTTGGCAGGAAATGCAGAGCTGTCCATAATGATGGCAGAAGATGGCACCACGGTCCTTCTCGTGCTCAAAGCACAAAATTGGCAGCCATCTGGCTCGTCTCTCTCCCTTGCTTTGACAGCCTGTCAGTTCCACCTTTGCAATATCTTTATTATCCATCAGTCTCTCAAACTCCACAGTTCTTTCCTTCGATCGGGGCTCATTATTTCTCACTTGAACCTGAGTGAACTCTTAACCTGTCCCAGTGTCCCCTCCTCTGCCCATCTCTGCTCAACTGCCCAAGGGATCTTTTAGAATGCTTCCCCTGCCACCCAATCGCATCGTAGATAATGTGATAAAACTCCTTAGCAGCCACCCATGGCCCTTTACAATCTGGTCATGACCTATTTCGTCAGCCTCATCACTTACCTTCCAACACCCTCCCCGTGTCTGCTCCATCTAACTGCTTTCCATTCCATCCTAAGTCCCCTTGGATGGAATTTTTGGACCAGCCCTAAAATCAAACCCAAAAATTCCAAAAATGAAGGCAACTCCATTTAGCTTGCTTGTTCGTTCACTAAAAATGAAAACAAGCTGCCACTGCCATCAAGTTCCTCAGGGCCACAGGAGGTGACAGGAAGATCCCAAAATGCCTGGAAAGGTGGAAAGCTGGCCAGCCTCTCCATGAGGGCAGAACAGACCAGCTGAGGCCTAGTGAGCCACAGCAGGGGAGATAACAGGCAAGAATCCTGCTGCTCAAGGACAGGCGTTCATTTGGGAATGGCCCTGGGCACAACACAACCTAGTCCACGGCAATCCTTTCCCGTTTCATGTAATAGAATTTCCTCCAAAAATTATAAGCCAAGAAGCTCATCTTTCCTTCTTTATTGAGCTATAAGCAGACTGCCATAGTCGTGAGCAGATAACTGCAAATCTGGGCAGTGATCTATGAAATCAGAACAGACCTGAGTTTGGAGTTGTGACTAATTAAAATTTTTAACCAAGTTCATCCCACATATATTTAATGTGATGCATAAGTGCTTTTGTGCTGGCTGGAAATTAGGCCCAAAGAGTGGGCAGTTCACAGAAATGCTGCAGACCCTGTGATTCTTTTTTTTTTTTTTTTTTAATTTTTTTCTTCAACGTTTTTATTTATTTTTGGGACAGAGAGAGACAGAGCATGAACGGGGGAGGGGCAGAGAGAGAGGGAGACACAGAATCAGAAACAGGCTCCAGGCTCCGAGCCATCAGCCCAGAGCCCGACGCGGGGCTCGAACTCCCGGACCGCGAGATCGTGACCTGGCTGAAGTCGGACGCCTAACCGACTGCGCCACCCAGGCGCCCCACAGACCCTGTGATTCTTAAACAGACAAACCTGATTGTGTTTCTTCCCTCAGTTACTGCTTCAGAATCCACTAGGATGACTGGCAGATCATTCCCTGCTCATGTCTGCACCAAAGCTCATGCATTTCTTGTGCACACAGGATATGTGCACTCTAACAGTGAAGGGCATCAGGTGCTTCTTCTGGCCTTGAACTGAGGTTGCCTGTGCTTGTACTTGGGGGACCTCTGGAATGGAAAAGGCTTGGTTGGCATTTACAAGCACTGCAACCTTGAACAAGCCCTTCAGTCTTCTAAAAAATGAGGATAGCCCAAGCTCATCCATGGAGGCTGTGAAGATGAACTAAAGAGACACATTAGGACTGTACCGCCTACACTGCTTTCCGAGGAGGAGGAAACTTTTCCATCACAGAGTTAGGGAACAGGATTCATATGTGCCAACCTTGTGTAAAGACACCACTGTCCCTGACAGATTCTACCTGTTCCTGCAAGAACAGTCCAAATGAAGCCACTATTGGTCTGTGTTCATCCACCCCTGTAGAGTACGGAATCAGGGATTTCTGGCCAACTCAGCCAGGGCTGGGGCAGTGGAAGAAGCCCACCAGGTCATATACAACACTCCAGCTGATCTGCACCAGGCTCCCTTCCACAGAGTCAGGACTTGTTGATTTACTTTACTAAGTCTGAATTAAAACACCAACAAAGAGGTTAATTTGCTTTTATGACTTCTGAAAAAGTAATGTATTTGTCTGGTACACGCTTTGGCTCAGATCGCTTTCTATAGGCCCTTGTAATACATGGTGATCCTTGAGTGTGCATGCCACAAGCATGGGGCTGGAGCACAGAGGCTGCCCAGAGGTTCAAACAAGGAGGGTCCCGGCCCCAGGGGCACAGGCAGATTCCTAGGGTCTCAAGGCCAATGGGCAGAGCTAGAATCCAGTCAGGGCAGAAGAAGTAAAGAGCACTTCATGCCCAGAAGTGGGGGGTAAAGCCAGATGCAGCCATCTGGAGGTATCCACTCTAAAATTGAGACAGCAAAGCTTCATCTCCCAGGCTTCTAGCTTATGTGAATTCTCTTACATGTGCTGGCCTCACTAAATCAATAAAATAATAATTTAAGTGTAAAATAAAGTATAGCCAAAGTGAAATGATTTAAGCTCACTGTCTTCTGGGAGCAGATGTTCCAGAGGGAGTGCGATGTGGCAGAGAATTTGCCGGTGCTTCCTGCAGCACAGCGACTCCCTTTTCTCCTTACCAAGAAACTTGATTTTGTTCACCTTCGGGGACAAGGGGCAGAGATCCAGGTAGGAACCGCAGCACCACACCCACCAAGGCAGGCCACTCCCTTTGCCCATGATTGGTCCAGTCACGAACATGTGACCCAGCCCTGGCCAACGAGATATAAAAGGAAGTGCCTGGAGGCCTATGGGAAAAATTTTCAAAGTCCAAATACAAGCAGGTCCTTTTTCCACCGCTTCCTGCCCTGGATGCTGTGGTGTCGGGACGTGACGCTTGGGGCTGCCACAGCCCTCCGGTGACCATGAAGGCCTAGACAGCTGCAGAGGTGAAGGGCAACCCAGAGACTTGGGTCTCATTAAGTTGCTGCAATAACCTAGTATAGCCTCTGTCTAGACTTTATTATGTGAGCTGCTAAAATATCTTTCCTGCCACAGCTACTGCTGGTCATGTATTCACTTGCTTGTGTCCTCAAGCATCCAAAGAGATCCATCTCAGGAGGCTTCGGTTCTTGCCTTCTCCTCACAGTGTGTGCACTTCCGTGGGCCAAGTGCGATTCCAGTGTGTAAAGACAGGTACTTGCTACATAACATGGTGTCTAAAGTCAAAGCAGCTGCTTCACCTGGGTTGCAGCTGGAGAGAGACTGAATCTGAGCTGGAAGACCTCCCACTCTGTGGGTCCTGGGAAGGATGGTATGTTGAACTCCAATGTGGGGCTATCCTGGGAATCTTCCAGGAACTGTTCGGAACAAACATGATTTTTGGTTGACACTGTGACCTCAGAACCTAACCTCAGGGGCAGCTGCCTCCTGAGCCTCTTAACAGACCCCCCTCAGCTGCATTCGCTGTCCCCACAGGCACTGACTGCAGGGACCTTTGTGAGGGTAGCTTTGTATCTCAGGGGACTTTCACACCCTCAGTGGCTCCTTGCTCCTCTCCATAGATGGGGACCGCTGTGCCTTGCCTGCTTCAGTGCTGGCTGCTTGCCTACCTGTGCCTGTGGTCCAGCACAGCCTGGTGACGTGAAGAAGCCTGAACACACCCACGCTGCCATCTCTAAGTTTTGTTCCTGCTGGTCTCTACCTAGAGTGCCCCCTCTACCCATTCCTACCTATTAAACTTTGTTTCCCCAGCACTCAGCACACATTAGGCCAACCAAAGAAGGTCTCCTTAACTCAGTAGTGATGAAAACAAGTAACTCCATTAAAAAACAGGCAAAGGACTTGAATAGACATTTGTCCAACGAAGATATACAAACGACCAATAAGCACATGAAAAGATGCTCAACATCACTAATCACTAGGGAAATGCAAATTAAAACTACCATGAGATACCACCTCACATACATTATGATGACCATTATCCAAAAAAAAAAAAAAAAATGGTAAGTGTTGGCGAGGATGTGGAGAATTTGGAACCTTTGTGCACTCTTGGTGGGAATGTAAAATGGTAAAGCCACTGTGAAAAACAGTATGGAGGTTCCTCCAAAGATTAAAAATAGAACTACCATATGATCTAGCAATTCTACTTCTGAGTATATACCCAAAAGAACTGAAAGCCACAGGAACAGTTACTTGTACATCAATGATCATAGCAACATTTCTCACAGTAGCCAAAAGGTGTAAGCAACCCAAGTGCCCACAGATGACAGATGAATGGATAAACAAAATGGTTATATATGTGTGTGTGTGTATACATAATATGTGACATTTATTTTTTATGTGTATATATATATATATATATATGCACGTAGATATATATGCAAATATATACAATACACATACAATGGGATATTATTCAGTCTTCAAAAAGAAAAAATCTGACATA